CCATGGGTTGGTACCCACAGCATCCTCACCAGAGCATCCTTCCCATGGGCTGGTACCCACAGCATCCTCACCAGAGCATCCTCCCCATGGGCTGGTACCCACAGCATCCTCACCATGGGTTGGTACCCACAGCATCCTCACCAGAGCATCCTCCCCATGGGCTGGTACCCACAGCATCCTCACCAGAGCATCCTCCCCATGGGCTGGTACCCACAGCATCCTCACCAGAGCATTCCCCGGTGGTACCCACAGCATCCTCACCAGAGCATCCTCCCCATGGGCTGGTACCCACAGCATCCTCACCCGAGCATCCTCCCCGTGGGCTGGTACCCACAGCATCCTCACCAGAGCATCCTCCCCATGGGCTGGTACCCACAGCATCCTCACCAGAGCATCCTCCCCATGGGCTGGTACCCACAGCATCCTCACCAGAGCATCCTCCCCATGGGCTGGTACCCACAGCATCCTCACCAGAGCATCCTCCCCATGGGCTGGTACCCACAGCATCCTCATCAGAGCATCCTCCCCATGGGCTGGTACCCACAGCATCCTCACCCAAGCATCTTCCCCATGTGCTGGTACCCACAGCATCCTCACCCGAGCATCCTCCCCATGGGCTGGTACCCACAGCATCCTCACCAGAGCATCCTCCCCATGGGCTGGTACCCACAGCATCCTCACCCAGATCATCCCTGGTACCCACAGCATCCTCACCCGAGCATCCTCCCCATGGGCTGGTACCCACAGCATCCTCACCAGAGCATCCTCCCCATGGGCTGGTACCCACAGCATCCTCACCAGAGCATCCTCCCCATGGGTTGGTACCCACGGCATCCTCACCAGAGCATCCTCCCCATGGGCTGGTACCCGGCGCTTTCCTCTCCCCCATCCCATCCGGAGGGTGCCATGGAGGGAAGCGCTGTGTCTCCCGCTGGCAGCACAGGCTGATCCCTCCATCCCCTCCGCCTTGCCCGCACCGTGCCCGCTCCTGGCTGGGAGCAGGAGGTTATGAAAATGAGCTGTGTGCCCAGGAGACTGTAATTATCTGCTAAGTGCGAAAGCTGGAGTGATTAATTAAGAGATAATAAAAAGAAAAGGAGGCTGGAGAGGGAATAACGGATGCTTTGATGATAAAACCTGAGGTAAGGCAAGCAATTAGGGGAATCTTTATGGAGCGTTCGCTATAATCCCTGCGTGGCGGGGGGCTGGACGCATGGATGCACGGACAGACCCACGGACGAGCAGAGAGGCCAAAGAGCCTCCGTGTGCCACAGTGCTCCAGCATCCCTTGGGATCTGCTCTGTGGGATGAGGAGGATCCCAGGTAGGATGTAGGCCAGGAGGACAAGCTGCTTTGGGATTGAGAGGCGCCCAGTGACACCAGTTCCACATCCAATGGGTGCATTGCTACCGAATGGATGCACGGACGGCTCCGCATCCCGGAGGCAAGAGGCAGGATGATGCTGGTGCTCTGTGGCCGGGCTGGCTGCCTCCCCGCCGGCACCGGCTGATTCAACCCTGGCACAGGCTGCCCGGGCAAGCCCCGGCAGAGCCCATGCAGCCGGCTCCAAAGGCAGGGCTGGATCCCGGCCCTTGCATGGGGCTGCGGCGCATCCCAGGCTCCCACATAGGAAGAGCAGTGCTGGGGGGGGAACAAGGGGCTCCATCCCCTTGCCCCTGCTCTGGAGATGGGAAAAGCATCAGCAAAAGGCAACAGCCCCAATCCCGGTTGCCAAAATGGGGCAGCTGCAGCGACCCACTGTGGTTGCATCCCCTCCACTGAGGGGCTCTGGGGACAGGGGTACAATGGGGGTGACCCAGGGTCCTGCCCCTGCACTGGTGGCTGCTGAACACAGCGAGGACAACGCGGAGCCAGGGATGGATCCATGGGAACAGCTCTGGAATTGGTGGGGGTCACCCCAGGCAAGGAGGGACCCCCAGGATGGGGCCTCCACTGGTCCCACAGGCAGGGTGGGATGAACCAGGCCGGGTTTGGGTGTCCCTGTCCTGCGCCCCCCTGCCCCACACACACATCTCAGCCCTGGAGCATCTCTCATGCCCTTTGTTACCTTGCAGCAGCCAATGGTCATCTTCAAGCCCTGGTGATGTGCAGGACCAGAGCTGCCACCCAGGGGGGACAGGCAGGTCCCCACCATCCTCCCCAGCACCACCGGAACCTTCCTTCGCCTCCTTCCCCCTTGTGCAGCCACCGAGTGCATCCACAGCTTGGCTGGGGCCAAGCAGGGTGGCTTCTGCCCTGTCCACATCCCTCCTGCTCCATCCCCATCCCTTCCTTCTCATCCCCATCTCTACTGCCCTGCCCCTTCCCTCCTGCCCTGTCCCCATCCCTCCTGCCCTAGAAATCTGGGGCCAAGTGGCCACATCCCTCCATCCAAGCCCCATCCAAGCCTCATCCAAGCCCCATCCAAGCCCCATCCAAGCCCCATCCAACCCCCATCCAAGCCCCATCCAAGCCCCATCCAAGCTCCATCCAAGCCCCATCCAAGCCCCATCCAAGCCCCATCCAAGCTCCATGCAACCCCCATCCAACCCCCATCCAAGCCTCATCCAAGCTCCATCCAAGCCCCATCCAAGCCCCATCCAACCCCCATCCAAGCCTCATCCAAGCCCCATCCAAGCCCCATCCAAGCCCCATCCAAGCCCCATCCAAGCCCCATCCAAGCCCCATCCAAGCCTCATCCAAGCCCCATCCAAGCCCCATCCAAGCCCCATCCAAGCTCCATGCAAACCCCATCCAAGCCCCATCCAAGCTCCATGCAACCCCCATCCAAGCCCCATCCAAACCCCATCCAAGCCTCATCCAAGCCCCATCCAACCCCATCCAAGCCCCATCCAAGCCTCATCAAGCCCCATCCAAGCCCCATCCAAGCCTCATCCAACCCCATAACTCATCCAACCCCCATCCAAGCCCCATCCAAGCTCCATGCAACCCCCATCCAAGCCCCATCCAAGCCCCATCCAAGCCTCACCCAAGCCTCATCCAAACCCCATCCAAGCCCCATCCAAAAGCCACCAGCAAAGGGCTCATCCTGACCTCAAACCACCCGGTGCCACCCTGGCTCCTTCTGACGGTGCCTCCCAAGGCTCTGGGGCTCAGCCAGGGCATGCAGTGACCACACCAGGCCTCAGCACCACACATGAGCCCTGTGCCCCCCCTGCTGCCCCCCTCTTCCCTCCCCTTCAGTTTGGCTTCATTGGAAGGGGGCAGCGAAGGGGATGGGAGAGGAAAAACCCCCCCGAGAGGAAGCGAATCACCCAGAAAATGAATAAATATCTCAATGTGAGGCGCAATCACGGCGAGTGATTGAAACGGGGGGAAGAAGAATGGGATTCATTTAGGGAAGATACAGGGAATTATGTAGGGAGAAATGAAGAGCGATGAAACCCATCCAACATCTCAGTGTGCAGGGATGTGAATGGCACCAACACCCCCCAGCTCCTGGGGCCTGGAGATGGGGGGGGGAACCCAAATTCTACACCCCCCCCACCCCAAAAACAGCTTTGGAGCAAGGCTTGGAAGCAAGACGCAAACTTAGCGATGGGATGGGGGTGCTCGGGTGGGAATTGGGGGTCACAGGGACCCCCCCCTTGGTAGCTGCTATTGGGAATCTCACTCTTCCCAAGCAGCGATGCTGGAGCTGGGCCCCTCGCACCGACGGGATCCACATGGCACCGGGCGGGAGAGCTCAGCTTTTGTTCCTGGGAGGGCAGCGGAGCCCCACGGCGCGGGGGAGCCTGGGACGTGCCCCCCCCCCGCGGCCCCCCTATAAGAGGCTTTACACGCTCCTTTAAACCCCGGGTCCACTCCGAGCCTTTTTTCCCTCCTCCCGGCATCTTAGCAACGCCGCCTCCTTAATTAAAACTGAGATTGGATTTTGGAGCTGGGAAGGAGCCGGAGGCCGCGCGGGGGGGGGGGAACGGGGGAACGGGGACGGGACCTGGGGACGGGACCTGGGCACGGGGCAATGCCCAGCTCCAGCCCTGCTGGGACCTCAGCATCTCGCTGCACGCATGGATCACATCCCCCTGCCCCTCATAGGGAGGTTGAGCTTTGGGGAGGCCCCGTGGGGCTGGGGGGGGGGGCGGGGGCTTAGCCTGACCTTGGCTGCAGACCCCCCCCCCCCCCCCATGCCTCAGTTTCCCGGGAGATTTGGGGGTCCGATCTGGGGGGTTTAATGGGGGGGGGGAGCAGCAACCTCTGGAAGGCGAATGGGGGGCAGAGGGGGCCCCACGCTCCCCCGAGCACGAGGGGTGGGAATTGGGGGTCTCAGAGCCCCCCACCCAGAGACACCCCCCCCCCATCCCCATGGATGGGCTCCCCACCAGCATCGTTGTGGCCGGGTCCCCATCACCCTCAGCCCTGGGTGTTCACCCCACAAAAGCCGGGGTGCCCAGGCCCGGGTCCCCATTGCTGGAGCACCCTGGGGTGCCCTCGAACACCCCCCCCCCATTCCCACATCCGAGCCCCCTGCTCACCCGCACCCCTCATCCCGCACCACCGGCGGCACCGGGAGCCCCGTAGGGCCCCCCCCCAGCACCCAGATGGGGGGGGGGGGAACCCACAAACCCTTGACCCCAGAGCGGGGCATCCAAGCGGGGGCAGAACCGAGGGGGGGGGGGGAGAACCGGACGCGGCTCCGCCGGGACCCCCTCGTAACGGCTGGGGAGGGGCCCACGAGGAGCGGCCGCGGGGAACCGGGGGATGCTCCGGGGGTACGGGGGGGGGGGTCCCAGCAGCCCCAGGACCCCCGGCCCAGCCCGGCCCGCGCCGCCGGTTCCCGAGGGATCGAAGCCGCCCCGCTCCCCCCCTCGGTCCCGTTCCCGTTCCCGTTCCCGTTCCCATCCCGCCGGGATCGGAGCCGCTGCCCGCGGCGGGGCTGGAGCGGTGCCCGCGGAGTTGGGACTCGCACTTGGGGCGGCCCCGCGCTGCCCGGCGCCGCTGCCCGCTCCCGGTGCCCGGTGCCCGGTGCCGGTACCCACCTTGCCCGCGGGTCCCGGCGGCGCTGAGCAGGCAGAGGAGGATGAGGAGGCTCCGCATGCTCCCGCCCCGGCCGCGCTCCGGGAGGGGGGTGGCCGCTGCCCCGCTCCGAGCCCGGAACCGGCCACAGCTCGGCCCGGGGGGAGGGGGGGGGGGGGCCGGGACCGGCACCGGCACCGGAACGGCCCCGCTGCGAGCGCGAGAGCCCCGAGAGCGGCGGGGGCGGGGCGGGGGCGGGGCGGGGGGGGGGGGGGGGGGGGGGGGGGGGGGGGGGGGGGGGGGGGGGGGGGGGGGGTGCAGCCGGGGGGTGTTGGCGCGTGTTTGGGTGCACGCGGGTGCCTGGTGGGGTGTGCACGTGTGTGTTCGGACACGTACATGTGTGTTCGGGTGCACACATGTGTGCTTGGACGCGTACATGTGTGCTGGGGTGCGTACATGTGTGTTTGCTCGTGTACATGTGTCTTGGGGCGCATACATGTGTGTTCGGACACGTACATGTGTGTTTGGACACTTACATGTGTGTTCGGACATGTACATGTGTGTTGGGGTACATACATGTGTGCTTGGACATGTACATGTGTGCTGGGGTGCATACATGTGTGCTGGGGTGTGTACATGTGTGTTCGGACATGTGCATATGTGTTTGGGTGCACACATGTGTGCTTGGCCGTGTACATGTGTCTTGGGGTGCACACATGTGTGTTCGGACACGTACATGTGTGTTGGGGTGCATACATGTGTGCTTGGCTGTGTACATGTGTCTTGGGGTGCACACATGTGTGTTCGGACACGTACATGTGTGCTGGGGTGCATACATGTGTGTTGGGGATCTTACATGTGTGTTTGGACACGTACATGTGTGCTGGGGTGCATACATGTGTGCTTGGCCATGTACATGTGTGTTGGGGTGCATACATGTGTGCTTGGACATGTACATGTGTGTTCGGGTGCACACATGTGTGCTTGGCTGTGTGAATGTGTCTTGGGGTTAATACATGTGTGTTTGGACATGTACATGTGTGCTGGGGTTCATACGTATGTGTTTGGACACGTACATATGTGTTGGGGTGCCTGCATGTGTGATGGGGTATGCACATGTGTGTTGGGGTGTGCACATGCATGTTGGGTTCATACATGTGTGTTGGAGTTCATACATGTGTGATGGGGTATGCACATGTGTGTTGGGGTGTGCACATGCGTGTTGGGGTTCATACATGAGTGTTTGGGTTCATACATGTGTGTTGGAGTTCAGACATGTGTATAGGGGGTGTGTACATGTATGTTGGGGTGTGCACATGTGTTTTGGAGTTCATACATACGTGTTGGGGTGTTTATATATGTGTTGGGGTTCATATATGTGTGTTGGAGCGCATGCACATGTGCAGGTTTCATACATGTATTGGGGTGCATACATGTGTGTTTGGGTTCATACATGTGTGTTGGGGTATGTATATGTGTGTCGGAGTGCGTACATGGGTGTTGGGGTTTACACATGTGTGTTGGGGTGCGTACCCACATGTGTGTGTGATTGCTGGGGTGCTTACATCAATGTCAGGGGTGTTCATCCATGTTATGCACATTGGGGTGTGTGCACACATGTGTGTGTGTGTGTGTGTGTGCACACGTGTTGGGGGACCTGTGTTCATGTGTGGTGGGGTTTTCACATGTGCAAACCAGAGCAGGATGCTCCAAGCCCCTGTGTCCTTGAGCACTGCCAGGGATGGGGCAGCCCCAGCTCCTCCGGGCACCCCGAGGTCTTCCTTGGGGGGATGTCATGGAATTGGATGGAGCTGGGGACCCCCAAACCCATCCTGGCCCAGCCCCATGGGTACCAGGAGCCACCAATGGATGACGGCAATGAAGAGATGGCTCGGGGGTGACGCGGGTTGTGTCCGGATCGGCACGGGGTGTCCATGGGGACAGCGTAGCCCTGCCATTCCCGGGCATTGCCCAAGTCTCCCCTTGGCACTGGGGGCTCCCCTGGGATGCAGGGAGGAATCTGAGTGGGAGCGGAGATGCCGTGGGGAGGAGGATGAAGGAGTTTGTGGAGCAGGGAGGAAGAGGAGAGAGGTCAGGGAGGAGTGGCAGCGGCCGGGAATGTGCTGACGGCAGGGAAGGAAAAGCTGCCACGTTGGCTGCTTGGGAGCACTCCCTGGGATGAGGGGGAGCCGCAGTGCGGGGACCCCCATAAGCCCATAGTGGATTGGGGGGCACAGCCCCCCATGGCCCAGCGTCAGGCCCATCACCGTGGCATCGGGGCGCATGGAGCAAACCCATCCCCAGCCCGGGGAGGGGACACCCCTGTGGCACTGTCCCCAATGGGCTCAGTGGGAGCTGGGGGGGGGGTCCCAGCCCTGTGTGGAGCCGGGAATGGCTCTGGCAGTGGCTGTGTCGGGAGGCCCATCGGTGCCAATGATAATAACAATCATCATCGTATTTATACGGAGCCTGATGGCTCCGAGCAGCTTCCAGAATCCATTTGGAGGCAGCCGCTCGCTTTTCCTCATTCCCAGCGAGGTGCTGGAGCAGAATGGCCAAGGAAGATGCTTGTTATCCGGCCCTGATCCACAGCTGGGGGGAGCCAGGGTGATGCAGTGCCCCATGGTCCCATGGTGGAGGAGGTGGGATGGAGGGGAAGGGATGGAGAAGGGATCCAGGGGAAGGGATGGAGGGGAAGGGATGGAAAGGAAGGGATGGTGGGATTAGGATGGAGAAGAAGGAATGGAGGGGAAGGGATGGAGGGGTAGTGAGTGGGTGCAGGGGGAAGGGATGGATGGGTTGGGATGGAGGGGAAGGGATGGAGAGGAAGGGATGGTGGGATTAGGATGAAGAACGAATGAAGGGGAAGGGATGGAGGGGTAGTGATGGAGAAGGGATGCAGGGGAAGGGATGGAGGGGAAGGGATGGAAGGGAAGGGATGGAGGGGAAGGGATGGAGGGGTAGTGATGGAGAAGGGATGCAGGGGAAGGGATGGAGGGGAAGGGATGGAAGGGAAGGGATGGAGGGGAAGGGATGGAGGGGTAGTGATGGAGAAGGGATGCAGGGGAAGGGATGGAGGGGTTGGGATGAGAAGGGGGAGGGGAAAGTTTGGAGAGGAAGGGATGGAGGGGAAGGGATGAAGAGGAAGGGATGGTGGGATTGGGATGGAGAAGGAACAGAGAGGAAGGGATGGAGGGGTAGTGATGGAGAAGGGATGCAAGGGGAAGGGATGGAGAGGAAGGGATGGAGGGGAAGGGATGAAGAGGAAAGGATGGTGGGATTGGGATGGAGAAGAAGGAACAGAGGGGAAGGGATGGAGGGGTAGTGATGGAGAAGGGATGCAGAGGAAGGGATAGGGGAGGTGTTGGGATGGAGGAGAAAGGATGGAGGGGAAGGCATGGTGAGGAAGAGATGGAGGAGAAGGGATGGAGGGGAAGCAATGGCGAAGGGATGGAAGGGATGGGGTTTCACTTCCTGCTTGCTAGGGCACAACACCGGGCAGCACAACAATGTGAGGTGCATTTTGGCTCCTGAGAAGCTCCTTGGCTAGGAAAAGGGGGTGAATTCCCACTGAAACCAGTGGCCAGGCAGGAAAAGTCTGTCCCCAGCCCCATGGGAGCTCTCTTTAGCATTCTTATTCCTTCTTCCCTTTGACCAGCGCCCGTGGCTCCCACTCGTGCCCCCTCCATCCCTGTGATCCCCTGTGCTCCCAGCCCCTGATGCGCAGCCCAGGGGGATTTGCAGGAAACTCAATTTCCTATGGAAAAGCAGCTTCTCTTCACCCTGGCCTCCTTCCCCCCAGCCTGTAACTGCTTGGTTGCTTCAAAGAGATTTCACAAGCGGGGCAAAGTCACAGGGATAAAGGAGACGGGGTGAGAAGGGAGATGGATGCTGTCGGGATGGCGCTGTCCCCAGGGATCCACCTGGTCCAGCCCCATCTAGGACAGAGGTGCTGGTAAAGCCATCACCGGGGGTTAAACTGCTCGTGTTTACACGCTGTTTCCTGTGAGGACATCATTGTCCCCCTAAACCACCCCTCAGTTATAAAAGCCACCAGTGGAGCAGGCCAGATGCAGCGGTGATGGGCGAGCGGGACCCAGAGGGGAAGCTGGGGGAGCTTGGATGCTGCTGGAGCACCCCCAGGGAGACCCATCCCCATCCCCTTCATGAGGGCAAATCCCATCATCCCCCTATGGATAACTGCAGCTCCTCAGTCCCACGTTAACCCCCATCATTGCACGTGGGTTTTCCTTCCTCCTGCCTCCCCTCCTCAAATCCAGCATCCGCTGGGAATGGTTTCATGCCATTGGTTTCCCCATCCCATCACCCCGTGAGGTCGAGCCGTGCTTTCATGTGCCATTTTAATCAGCTCTGCTCCTGGAGTAAGAGGCAGAGATTCATTGGAAGAAGCTGCAATTCCCATGGGATCGTTACACCACGATCCTGGGATTGCTGCGGGACCCTGGGATCACTTTGGGACCTTGGGATTGCTGTGGGACCCTGGGATTCTTACCTGATCCTGAAGTTGTGGGACCCTGGGATCAGTGCAGGGACCCGGGATCACTGCCTGGCTGGAAGGAGGGTGCTGAGCATCCCAGGATGGGGACAGCCCCAGGCTCCATCCCGGCTGGTACCCAGGACAGGGCAGCACCAGGGATGCTCTCAGGACGGACCACCACAGCAAAGGACACCCTCAGATGTCAAATGAGGGCTCTTCTTCCTCACAGTCCGTGTGTTCCCAGGCCTCATTCCTAACCCAACAGCAGCAACGATTTCCCCGGGAGAGCATTTAGACGGGAGATTGAATGAGGGATTTACTGCCAGCATTAAGACAGCACCAGATCACTTATTTATGAGAACTTCTTGACAGATCTGCTGCTCAATAATGGATGGCACGCAGCGTTTAGTCAGGGTCACCAGTGAATCATTCACCTCCCATCAACTACAGGAGGGGGTCTGAGTGATGATCTCCCCCACGTTTGGGGCTGGAAATAGGAAACTGGTGCTGTCTGCGGTAATGGTGGTGTCCCTGCATCCCCTTGCTTGGTGCTGGGATGGGTTTTGGTGCCCAAAGGCTGGTGGCTTTGGGAGGAAGAAGCGTTGACGTATTTAGAGCAGCTCCTTGTGCAAGAGATGAGGAACCTGGGTTCACGTCACATCCTCGAGGGGCTCTGAGCACAGTAACCTCATCTTGCCCTGAAGGGGGAAACTGAGGCAGAGGGGATGCTGTTCCCGGAGTCTGGAATCCAGGCTTGGTGC